GGTCAAAACGACGGTTTTGATGGGGTATCTGTACGTTTTCGCGCCAATACAATCCGTTAAGCTGTAAGACTGAAGCTCACAAAAACTCACGGGATTTCTGTCGGCGCAGCTGGGTTCACAATTGCTTGCGCAGCTTCTGTAGCTTTCAAACTGTCCACATCGCTTGTCTTGTGATTGTGGAACACATTCTGCTACTGGGGTACTAAAAGGAAGCATTTTAGTGAAGATGTGGTAACTCTGGGAGACCCATATCTGGAGAAAATTGAGAATAGAGGTTACTTGTGAAATTCATAAATGAGTTGTAGGAAACAAAGCTACATGATCGCTGCACTCACCATGGCGCTCTGACGCACACAACTTGTCTTACTCGACATTCGGACCCAACCGGACAACTGGTGGCAGCACATGGATCGTAGGCTTCTGAAATCACAAGGGTGTCTCTTGAAAGGTACTGATCTAATATTGGCAGCCAACAAGTAGTGGGGTAGTAACGGAAAGGCTTCAGGCAAGGAATATCTCTCAATGTCAGCGTAGTGTGGAATAATAACCGCAGGGGAGACGGTCAATTCAATCGTAAGCCAATGAGGCCACACCGCTCACGCGGCGAGCTGCGTCGCGCGCGGTAGTTGGTGCTGCAATTTCTGTATGGACTTTGGCTAAGCCATCCATGTGCATGAGTTGCAGGTTGAGTCAGATAACTATTAGACAAAGTGCCAACATCAGGTGAGCAACGAAGCGTCACTTAACATCTCTCAATTGATCCAGGCTCACGTACAAACAAGGTGGATCCGCCACCCCGGCACAGAGTGTAATCAAGTGGAAGGAGGAATCACGATAAGAACGAGGGTCAAAGAAGGGAAAAATCGCATAGTTAGGCTCGCAGTTAGCACGAAAGATCTGACCTCGGTGAAGCTTGGCTCACTCTTGATGCGCGGGTGGCGGGGTAGTGCCACTGGCTAATTCTAAGACGCACCGCAGCATCTATCTGGCGAGTGACTAGATAGCAGAGAGAGCTTAGTGTTAATTTGGGCCGTATTTATTTATTTATACGTCTATAAAGACATGCCGTCAGTTGTGCGGAACACTGGGCCATGGAGTTAGGTCCCATTAGAAAGAAAGAAAAAAAAACCCAACAAAACAAAACAAACAATAAGCGAACATAACCATTATGCACTTTCAATCAATCTCTGAAGACATGTTTCAGACCACGGTTCGAGATGAGTAGAACCTATTAAGGCCCTCATACATGTCAAAGTAAAGGTATCAAATGGTTTCTTCTTCATCCCTGCTCCACGGACCACCTCTACCCTTATTTCAATGATCCACTTCTTTGTCGTTTAAATTCGTATTGAAGGCGCATTCCGGAGCTGGCCTCCCATAGGGTGAAATGGATGCGAACGAATTTTCGAAAGCTATCACTCCTTTCAAATATATCAAATTGTAGAAAATAGTATGGCGCTGTAATGTGCGCTGGAGAGTTGCTCTCCTCAAACTCCTTGGGATAACTCGTTACGTTCAGTACGCAAAGAGTATTCAGTATTTTCGTTATAGTACCACCGAGAGATTCTTGTTCCACCATCACTGTTTCGATAACAATGGCTTCTGTCATGTATATTTTATGAGCAAATGTGGGAATAGTTCTGGGATTCACACTAGCATCTTGTTTTCAATAATGCAGAAGTGTAGTGCAAGGTGTAGTGGCCATAATTACTATTTTGGAAGCTTGAATAAATCGCTTTTGGAAAACCCTTGCATCCATCTTCACCATACGTCGATGCCTTGGCTCCCTTGCTCCATGAAGATAGCAAAAAGAACGAAAAATACGAGTTGGTTTGATATTAATCCAAACAACAAGGGAGCTATAAGAAATTTGATTTCCGGCCGTAGAACTGTCACAGTCAACACGTATGTATTGGGAGCGTAAGACCGATGTCGGACTTTGTGAATTCAGCTATTCGCTAGTGAATTATGGGATACGATCGTTGCACTAGCGATCGAGCTGTGTACCAGCGGAACGAACTACGTGTCAGCGGATCGAACGACGGCGGGACTTCCTGGCGAGAATGCTGGCGGGACTTCCTTTGAACGTTTGCTCTAGCCACTTCTCCGGGGCTCACGAAGGCATGAGAGAGTAATAGGGTATAAGAGCCTCGGGCAGAAAAGTAGTTGAGAGGCGCATGCAAACGAGTGGAAGAGGGTACCGCCACTTCAAACACGTTGAGTCGCTGGTAGAACGTGGATCCGCTAGGACATCTTCGATCCGCTGGCACATAGTTCGATCCGCCTGGTGCAACGCATTCGCTAGCGAATCGCTGGATACGCAAAGTCTGACATCGGCCTAATAGTGAATGGGTTGCCTTTCCAGAAACTTACACGTGGCTGCGCACAAGCCACGCACTTCGTCACAAAGCGCTTCCGGTCCCTCTCGCCATGGCAGATGCAATCCAGCTGATGGGATAGAACGGTTTTCCGCGGACGATTCTTTAAACTCAACTCTTTCTTTCGCGTCGCCTAATACGAGGTCGCCTCTTCAAATTCGTTCCTTGCCTCCCCCCCCCGCGACCCGTCAAAGGGCTGAGTTCCTTAATTTTTTCTTCTGGAATCCCATGTTTATGTTGTACACTGCTTTCTACGATCACAAATAGCCGTTGGCTAGGGAGGAATGAGAAAAGTTTCGTTAATTGCTCTTTCAATTTCGGGAATGCTGACTAGCAATCGCAAGGAGACGAACCAATCTTGAAACACGTGGAGGTGGTTGTGGACACGGAGGTAGGAGACAGTTGAGTGGCACTTGCTGACATTCAGTGCCTGCAGGGCACCTGACGTTGTCGCACGTGAGCGATGGAGTTTCTGAAATCATAACGTGCGGCAATTGTTGGTACGCTGCAGGGCTGAACGCTATTCGCTAGTTCAGAAACACAGCCATGTGGCTCAGCTTTACATTATCATTCTCAGCGGAGCCAGCCATTTTTCAGCGGAGCTTTGAACAGAGAACTCTGCTGCACGGTACAGCTTTATATAGATGAAATCTCTCGAAAGGCAACGATATCAACAAATACCAGCTTTGCACAGAATGCTGGGTTGTGAACAAAACTTTCGCCCCAGGCGGGACTAGAACCCGCACCTCTCGCTTTCCGGGCAATGGTGCCCCGGTAGCGTAACTGGTAGCGCACTTGCCCGGAAAGCGAGAGGTGCGGGTTCTAGTCCCGCCTGGGGCGAAAGTTTTGTTCACAACCCAGCATTCTTGTGAAACATTCGCAAGGCGAACTGCGGCCAAAAACAGCAGTTAACAAACAAAAACAAGACAAATGCCAGTGCTCTAATAGCGGCTAATCTCTCAGCATTGGAGACGTCGGCCAGCATCCCACTATGAAATGCGTAATTAGTGATACTTGAAAACGCGCTCTCACCAAGAAGAAGAAATAACCCAATATGTTTTTTCCAAATCTGAGGCGTTTTCACTGGACCGATTGTTCGTTTTGGACACTGATCTGCCCTGTAGCTGGGCCCAACCCAACATATCAATTACTCAAAGGAGGAAAACAAAAAGAACTAGGTGAAAACAGTAAACTCGGAAATTGAAATAGAGCGACCAAACCCGTTCGGAAACAATCTCGCGGTCTGGGCTGAGGACAGGGAGCACGAACGCAGTTGATCGTCTCCTGGCGACACTCAAAACCGTCACGGCATCTGATGTTCGCGCAGGTTATCAGATTCGGAACTGAAAACGCGAAACAAAGAATGTGAAGGTGCTGGTGCAATAACTATCTCGCAGAATCGGTTTGTATTTGAGAGTGGACCTTTGAAACTGGGTGTTGTCAACTCAGTGGAGTCGTCATCATCTGGCTGGCAACGAACCAAGCATCTGGTGCCTCGAACACAATTAAACTGAGAACATAACGGCAATGTTGGCCCTGAAAGGTTACGGTGAAGTGCATGCTAAGGCTATAACCAAGCTTTGGGTGTTCGACAATGCGCAAAACAACGGGGACCTGGTGGTGATGTTCGATAAGAATCTGGCCCAGCAGGCACACACCGAGTTTGTTGAGTAAAGCACGGCGGCACAAATGGACAAATCACTCGGCCCAATTCACAGCGAGTTCCCCTGGGGCAGTTTAACTCCGAGCAGGGTCTGACTGGATCTGAAATGCTGTCATGCGAAGCGCTCGCAAGAAAGGAATTCAAGAGCACGTGCGAATGATATTCTTCTAGCAGTGGGTTTACAAGCGTCCAAGCAAAAACTTCTTTATGTGTAGCTCCTAGTCAGTAAGGCCTAGAATGGGCTTATACGCTTCGCAGACTGTCAGTTTCTTTGGTGGTAGTATGTTAAGAGTGTAGCGATGAGCGAATGGGACATCTACTTTTCATACTCATAATTCGGAATCGGACCTATTGTTCTCACATCTGTGAGAAGAGATAATTTTTCTCTGAAATTTCAGGAACTTTTCTTCAAGGATGGGAACTGTATTGAAAAGAATGGATGACAAAAATTGTCATTTCCCTTCCTGATGGGTGTGGTTGCAGGTCCATTTCCGCAATAAAACGTCATGTATCCTAGGCGCTATCGGTTCACGAAAATGACAATGAGAGACACTACCATATCCCCCTGAGGAAAGATGCAACGATAGTCGGGTCGGTCTCGCGACTCGTGAATTTCGTTGTCGTTCACCTTCCCTAATCACATACTATCCCAGCTCGTAAACAAAAACCCCGGGACTTTTGCGCTGCAGTCCTCTCCTAAGCACACTGAAGAGAAAAATAACTTGAGTGAATTGTGAGAAAAAATCTGTACACGTGTCGGTGATCACCCAGGGAATAAGAGGGTCAAATGGGTTTTAGGACGATCGAACGCTAGATGGAAGCGCTTCGCGGATGGCATGAGGTATTGAATAATTTGCGCGAGACACAACAAACATATATTAGTACCTGGAAAGTCGTCCACACGGGGCCATCACGTTAGGGAGAGCAACAGTCCAGCAGCGGTGTGGGCGTGGTCGGAAACGACTGCAATCCCCTCGGCCAATTCCGACCACGCCCACTTCAGCTCCCTCCCTAGCGGCTTTCCAAGGTGAGTTTTTGTTCAGTCACACTTCCTTACGTTCTTGACTAGGGGCTGAACAGCTCCGAAGTGGGAATCGGCCGAGGGGATTGCAGCCGTTTCCGACCACGCCCACCCTGCTGGGACTGTTGCTTTAAAGAGGTCACGCCCAAGTACAGACATCGCCCCTCAACAAACTATTGTTGTTTATTGGAAATGTGAAAAGTAATACAGGACCTTGGTTGGAAAAGGCCCTGCGTGTGCTAAGAAGTTTAGCCGCGTTTTCAAGCACCTCAAATGCCCCGACAAAGAATAATCCGCACGTGCTTATAGGACTCGACGCACCTGTGGGGCAACTGGGCCATGGAACACAGACATTCTTCGAATCGCGGATATAGAGCCGTCTGCATTGACAAACGTTTATGATGCATTGTTTAGTGCACTAAATGCTCAGGTGAGGAAAAGGATTAGTAGAAATATGCTGGGTTAGTATAAAAGCCAAAAACAAAGATGTGCAAAGGCAACGAGGAATAAAGGAGACAACTGAATGTGCAAAACAAACGGTTGGATTAGGTTGTGAGCAAGTTGGTTCGCAAGCTGTGCCACACTGTTTTTTCGCTCCTCGTTCACACCACAGCCACCTCCTCCTATCAAAGTGAGGCTCTCATATCATATCAAAAAGGGTTGGTGTGGCGGTCGCTGCACGAATATTGATAAAAAATGTTGAAGGATGAAGCATTTGCCGTTGACCAAACCTTGATGGATGCAGCACTCATTTCACTTACATTTCTACATTCGTAGTGCCGTTTTGAATGCCATTTGCGGTTGGTTATTGCGGTCCAGTCGGATTACAATGTCTGCAATTCTATCTCAGATAAGCATTTACTACTTAGGACCCCGGAAGGATGGAAGGCTTGTTTGGCACGGGTGATGCACGACCCAGGATTCGATTCGCCGACCACGTGCGTGGAAAGCAGCCTCTTCCCACTACAGATCTTCCGCCCACGAATATTGATGCATATTCGTGATATGGGGAGGAAGTGGTGTAGTGACAAGTGGCGCGCTCACCACGCGAGCGGTCCGGGATCAAATCCTGGGTCGTGAGTCGCCCGGGCCAACCAAGCCTTCCATCCCTCCGGGGTCGGTTAATTGGTACCAGACTTGTCTGGGAGGATAAAAAACACTGACTTGAACATCGGCTGGCCCCGCAAGTCATTGTATAGGCCACATCGCATTCAAACGCCACTACGAATGTACAAATGGAAGTAGAATGCGTGCCGCATCCCAAAAAGGGATTGATCAACGGCAAATGCTTTATCCTTTTATCCTTTATTGGTACATAAATGTGATACGATACAATTTTAAAATTTGCTCAGAGCTTCTTCAGCACACTGGTAAAAGCTACCTCCTTAAGACTAAGACCCGATCGAGGGGTGGGGGCCGACGGCTGGAGAGGCGACATTGGTGCTGTACAGTGGCACGGATACGCATAACTTAGGGAGTATAGGCTACAATGTGCGGCGTACTTTTGCCCAACTCGATTTCTGCAGAAATGTGGACACTTACCAGAGCAGTTAGAAACGCAGACATTTTCATCGTTACGATAGAATCCCGATTTACATTGACATCCTCGGACGCATTGCTCAGTGCAGATTTCCTGAAGCATTTGATTTATCAAGAGATGAGCGGTAACAATGCATTTTTCAATTTATCGAAAGATTTGTGACGCTAACCTAACCGGTTGGCGATTGCGAATGATAGCGGGGTCGATGCCCGGGCCACACTCGGCTTGAATCTCTTCGTTTGCAGGGACAGGGCGTATTATTTGGGGGCACTTGTGTTGCTGAAGAATTCAGGAAAAACATATCAAAGCCATTTATTAAACCTTTCTATAAGGGTACAGAGTAGGACTACACATGTTGGCAATAAAAAGAAAGGTTGAAGTGTAGTTGTCAACAGCCCTTGGCATGCGCCGCGCATTCCTTTACAGCAATTTTGGCCGTGTTATAAGCGCATTACTTGGTTCTAACAGACATGACACTTGCGGGAGCCCAGATAATACAAAAGGATGAGCCTGTTCTCTCGACAGCTTGCCAAACTATTTCAGCTGATCTATAAGGAGGAAAGGATGGAAGTCTGGAATTTGGACGGAATACTGGGAGATACCCAATTTAGCAAGCGTATATGGTCATCGACTACGCTGGCAGGCTATCCGCTAATATTGCGCAGCAGGGTTATTCTTCTAAGAGAGCCTATGGAAGGTCTTACTTCTTGCGTGAATACTCAGAGGAAAACCTGTTCAAAGAAGGTGGATGGATTCCTTACTAAACTTGGTAGCATCCGGAATAGTTAACACATCTCCGAAGTTTTTACAAGTGACCACATATGGGAGCTAAGGAATGGACTGAGCGCAACCCTAACCTTGAGACTACAAGCCCATTTGTAGACTGTATCTTCGTGTAGACCTAAACTCTTCCCACGCACACATTACGATGTATTGCGATATGAAGATCCATTAAAGTGTGAAGCGGATTGGGCAGGCTGAACACATCCTATCAGGGGGGAGAGCACTCCTCGCTATTTTGTTCTTTGTCTGAGAGAACACTCCTTCGGATGGGATAATATGTAGGTGAACAACTTATTTGTAAACGTGCCTTTGATGAGGACCGAAGGATGTTCTACACTCCAGACCTCCTACTCCCATCCTACTCAATTGTCTACACTGGGTCATCACCCTGGAGGCTGGCATCTACATTTGGCGCGAACAAAGCTGTTCTCCTGATGCAGTATGTTCCTTAGAGCATTGCAAGTCAAGCGTAAGCGATTGGGCCCTAGTCCACAGCGGCACTTATCAAAAGGACACTTCAAATGAAAAATTACGTGTCACTAGCGTTCTATCTCTCATCCTAAGTTTGGGGAACACAGGTGGATGGCCCCAATGTTATTTTGCACGATTACTAGACTTTCATTGAGATTTGCCTAACCGTACCATCGAACCGACAAGGTTTAGGGATCTGTACCGCAGGGTGGGAAGGTTCTCAACTTGTTGACGCGGTTGCCGTCGATCAGAGCCCATGGCGAAGGCAAAAGAAACGAAGATCAAACAGAGTACACATTGCATTGGAAACCAATTCAATAGGAGCGCGTTTGGTTGTTCAGTGTACTCAGTGATGCATTTGAAAGAATAGTTGTGCAAATGAGAGGGAAACGTGCCATCAGAACACGAAGCCTTTTTCTCTGGAGCAACACAAGCGGCTTCCACCTCACACACATCAGCGCATGACGGATCCTTCGGTCGATAGATACAACTGAAAGATGTGCAATTGAAATCATCTGCAGTCTTCCATGGCATGCTGAGGCCGTGCAAATGCGAGATATTTTGCCTGACGAGCTACATGCATGATCGCAGACGTGGCTGGAAGGGTTCTGACACCCTGCCTTACAGAAGAAATCGATGCAGATCTCTTGCAAAACCTATAGAATATGAAAATTAGAGTTGATCGTTGTGATGATAGAACACCTCGCTAGACGTGAAAGGAGGGTGACCCATTTCAGTGGGTTTTCTATATTTCATGGCTTACAAAATACTGTGTAGTATTACTCTTATTATTACTACAATACATGATAATATCGTGTCTGCGAAGTCTATCCTTTGTGATATGGTGAAAAAGCACCATAAAATATGAGGAGTGAATGTGGAGCGAAGATCGACGAAGGCGCAAAAAGTTCATAGAGCTGAACTAAGGACACAGGACTTTTCGTGCCAACGCTTGACATAATTGAGCTGTTTCTTCTGTTACCAGGCCTCACTGATCACATTGTCTTACCTCTTAGCGGCTGGGTCTTTGTGGCAGGGAAGAGCGCCTCCGTTCACCAGCTGTTCGGTTTAATGGAATAAAATGCTATCGTAATAGGAATAAAATGCTTGCACTTCATTACCATGTGCCGTATGGTACATCTATATTATAGCTTTGTATTCATGAAGAGGGTTTGCTAGTGCGAAAACACTCAAGACGCACAAGAAGGTAAGAGGACCATCGAAAGCACCCTTCTTTTCGCCTTCCTCTTTTCTATAAAATGGTTATTATTCACTTTGCTGGCTTAGATAAATCCTTTTTTTGCCAAGCTCTTTACTTCCATTCCAAGTCGTAGCATTGAATAACAATCTGCGCTATACAGAAAAGGACTTCCAGGACACCGTATGGTAATTGCCCTTTATTATGGCTACAGCTTTTCTTGTCCTGGAAGAAAGGAGGCTCTATTTAGCGCGAACGGCGAGATTCCAGTGACGGATTTGAATACAGACGTAAGGTGAGCTAAGTGCGACACAGGCTCCGTTAATGGCTCATCCCCCCTCGATTTCTAATATTCAAAAGACAACTTTATACTACCTAGAAACCCCTTCCAAATTAATGGTTCGAAGTTAATCGCCCATATCTAATTCTCGAACTTAAATTAAAATTGAGACCTTCGACATTGGAAGTTTGATTTCTGCCTCAAAGTTGTTTATTGCTTCATTTCCTAACGATGACAACATCAAACGATGAATCTTAACTCTTCCTTCTTCAATCATGCATCTAGTCTGCCTAGTGGAATTATAGAAAGGTGTTCAGCTCACGTGCTTGGTGGACTACAAAGCAAAACAGAACAGTCAGGATTCGGCTTCCGGAGGTCATTCCCTGTCGGGATCTAAAATGAGAGAACGAAGGAGTTTTGCGAAAAGTAAGAGGAAAAGTCAAGCCACACAACTTAAGAAACAACAACAAAAATGCAAAAAGATAAAGACATGCAGCTGAGAGAGGTTAAGCGCGGTGTTAGGGAAACGGACAATGGGCGAAGTTAGTACGGTTTTTGAAGCGACAAAGACCTTCTCCTCCCCTACAAATTTCACCTAAGAATTCGCCAAGTTCGAGGCATTTTGCCACTCCATTCTCGACTATGCAACGAGTATTAGGTATGCAGTCGACGAGATTGCAAGGATTTTCATCCGGTGGTGGATTCTCGGACTCGCCGTACTCTGAACACTAGGACCTTTGCATTAGTGCTTCTATTTACCATTTGCCTACTACTCACTAAGAAGCACTGATGTTAAGAGCCCTGGCCTTTAGGACGGCTCAGGCCTTCTCGAGCAACGATATTAAAAAAGAATTCAATAAGAATAGTGGTGTAGTAGAAAGGGAATGAAAAAAATAAGGGAGTTAGATGAAACAAACTGGCAAGTATGAAGAATCGTGTTCGCTACATTGAGAAGAAACACTTGACACGCATCGAAGGTGTTTCTGGTTCTTAGTGAAAGCATAGCTCCTAACCTTTCAGTCTCTACTTCCTCCTCTTCCTCTGTTTTCCAATGTGAGAAAATATCAAAGGCCAGATGAAAAAACTCACGTGCTATTACAGTGGACGTGGTAAGGGCACAGAGTAGAAGTACCTGAAACGTAAAGATTGATGTAGGAAGTTGATGAAATTGGGTTGATAGCAATGGCGCGTTCTCGCGCTCATATTACGTGATAAGTCACCAATCTAATCTCATCCGGCCATATCGAGCCTTACATCTCCCCACGGCCACGTATTCGGTAGTAAATCCGTATTGTAAAATTCCAGATCGCGGGAACTGCCTTTTCACCCTCCAGAAACAGATAAACGTGCCTTGAGACACTGTGCATATAGATAAAATTAATTGTACGATTTTGAATTAGTACCAACTGCGTGGCGTATTCATGAGGCATTTTTGTGAGGGAGTGGAACCTCCAGGAAAGGAGGTTGGCTTGGCTGGCTAACGCCTGGCTTAGCTTTCTCCGTACTTTGACAATGGAAAGTCTCAGACATGGAAATGACAGAGAAATGCCGCGGTAATCGCTTTTTGTTGGTGCTTTCCTGAACCTGTATCCAGTCCTGTCTTCAAGCACTTCCATATCTGTCCATTTTTCAGTCAATGATAGCACCTCTCGCCTGTCTGCATAAGTTCGCAGCACTAATGGCGAAAACGAAATAGTTTGGATCTTTCTAAAGACTTGGAAATCGTACCCTCTCATAGCTGGCTTCTTCAAGCTGGAGAAAGATTGAAAGGCAGGGTGTCGGTGTTCAAATCATTTTACAGATAGCGTCCTCATCAGGATTTCACTCCGGAGGCCTCGCCGATCGAATTCCATCGTTCCATAAGCATTTCATTGCTGACCTTGAACGGCTCCCTAACGATAGGGAATTTCAACGCGATGACGTATCAAACTAGAATGTCCATGGCCTACAGTTGAGCCGTAATCGCTCATCGGATCTCAAACCGTTGATCCGCTGAATTCGTAAAAAGTAATCTGCACGTGGTTACTGTATTGTGCTATTAGTGCGCCAGCATAGAACGGAATCGCGAACGACCTGTTGGGATTCACCAGGAGAGACCTGGGAAAAAAGGGCAAGATTTGTGAGGAATAGACTTCAGTAACTTTCACTTTCGGTGACTCTTTCAGGTTCATGAAGAGCAAGAATTCGATACGCAACTCCCAGAAGCGCTCACACTTTCTGCATTGTGTGTCCAAATGTTTGTTGATAAACAATGACTCATTACTTACCCGAACTCTCCGTGAACTCCAATTTCGTGGTGAGAGGGCAACTACAGCGTGATTCATCAAGAAATTCTTGAGAAAATCGTCCCGGGCGGTAGCTGATCACAAAATCGTGGCTTCAATTCAGCCGTGCAGACTTCTCACTTCCCTGGTTTATGGATCGTTCCTACCAATCTCACGTGGGTGGTCAAAAACCTTGTCAAACCTGTCGGCTGGTACTCACAACCCACCTTATACACCAAAATACTACATATGAGACCACGTTTGTATTCTGAATGAGGTCGCTTGCGTGCGCATCCCTTGATGAGTTTGCTAAAACCGTGCAAATTATTTATTTATTGATGCCGTAGGTCTGTATTATGTCATACGTGGTATACTATTACTAGCGAGCTTCACATAATAGTTGCAAAATTGATAACATATTGTCGAGTAGGCTTCATTGTAGGACATAATGTACACTCTTCCAAAAAACTGCCCTTCGTTCGTTGACGATGAGTCTCTCCTCATCCAAGAATCGAAGAAGTTTTAAGTTTTAAAGGAGGAATTCACGGTAAGAATGAGGTCAAGAGTGGAAGATTGCAGCATGGTTGGGAGACGGCTGGACCCTGTAAGTGGCTGACAACACGCATGACAGGAAAGGACTTCATCCCGGCCGATCTAGCCAGGCTCATCCCTTGAGGCGCGGTTGCGGAGACGCCACGTTCTTCCAAAATTCGCCGCACGGTCGTGTACCGTGGCGAGAGTTGAATTAGATTACGGCGCAGACGAGCGTAGTAGTATAGAGAGGGTATCAGCGATTTGAGAGCCGCAAATCAATGCAATCGAAATCTAAGCTTGGCCAAGGAAGTTTTTTCCTCTTGGTGGTTTGGCAGGCGGGCCGTTTCAGATGGTGTTCTTTTCCACCCTGGCGGTCCACGACACCTCTAGCCTTATTTCCAATGAGCTAACATTTCATCGTAAATTCTGCCATTAACCTCACTCCACATGGTTTTATCTACTGAGTCGTACAGGGAACAGTGATAAAAGAAGAACTAGACTCACCGAGATTGTGCGAGACATTTCGATTGCTGTATCGTCGGCAACTGTCCTTGTCTCTAACCTGAAATATCAAGCCTTCACCTTTCTCAACTGCACATGTAGGAGAACATTCAAAAAAATGTTGTGAATTCGAAGATATTCGGAAACGAGTATGTATGACAGAATAGTGAGACAAGGGCGAAAGAACGAGGTCAAGAAATGTTATTGCATGAACTGCATGAGGAAACAATCAACGCTGGTAGGTATATCGATGCACTGCGAGCGAGACAATAGAACTGATTTGGTCAGCTGCGAATCGCGCCACGGAGTTCAGCTCGATTTTGAATGATTGCTCAGTCCTAGGCGGACCCACGATACGAGTGAATGCAGCCTGGACAGAGGCCATTATAAATACGGCTAGCAATTTCTGAGCCCTCACAGAAAGCTAATAGGGTCACATGTTATGGAAATGGACCACAAGCAAGCGTTCAGAAAACAATGCATTAAGCTCGATTAGGACCTTCAACCGGCTTCGACTGGTGAGCTGGACCACAACTTCCCATAATTTGGCACCACGGAACAAGTCTCCCGTTAAAATGTCCTTTTTTGTTGTCTTGTTCTCTACTTCATAATTCTCTTGATGACTGAGTTAGACACTGTCAATACCAGTCGAGTATTCCATCTATCGCGTTTAGTTGGTAGATAGTCAGGGTTGTCTGACAGTATGAAAACAGTGGCTTGTACATCAGCCGCGTCCCGCAGAGTCAATTATGAGCCAACCGCATTCTACGTCCTCACACATGATCAAGATTAGCCAGGTGCAAAATGTCGGTCGGCAGTAAAGAAACAGAGAAGAGGTCCAGAACCTTTCGAGTCTCTAAGAGTTGCCCTCACCTGTTGTAAATGTAAGTGTTATTAAGGCCATGAGGAGGACTTGCAGCGCGGCATAGGAGAGTTATTGCGAGTTGGTGAGCAGGCTACAACAATAGAAACGGGTGAAGCCAGCCTGCTGCTGTGTGCTAACACTGTATGCCGCTGCTCTATCGACTTGCATGCGCCCCCAGTGCCCCATGTCGGAGATTTCCATGTACGGGGGTTGTTGTTACTGAAGCTGAGCTTGCGCGTTCGTAGAAGTCTTCTGTGAGGCTGGAGCGGAATCATTCACTACGACCTTCATTTGCGGTTGCTGCTTCTGAACATGTTCAGTGCGAGTTCTGAGTGTGGGAATAGAATGCTGGCCCATTCTAAAGAGGGGACCGATGCCGAGTTTCAACTTTAGCATTTCAGGTCCGGGAAATAAACAGTGCAATCTTGACGGAATTATGCGTGGAATTGTTTTGCTAAGGAAAATCTCCACTAACAGGATTCACTACAGATGCCATTGAGAACATTTAGTACTGCACAAAGATAAGGGTTTATTAGAAGAATCGCATCGAGTGTGAAGACGAAGGTTCATAGACGTCGCAAGCTTGCTTCGAGGTGACGCGGACAGTAATGTCAGAATTGACAGATCAAACGGATAAAGACTAACTATTAAGAAGGAGCAATTGAGTTGGAGGAACCCGACAAACTTTCTGCGCATACGATATATCGATGCGATCATCTATCTTCAGGCGGCTCTCCAAAACTGACTACTCTATGTAGGCTCAGGAAACGCTGACAACAAGGGTGCTACTTATAGGCAAAGTACAACTCGAGATTATGAAGCAGCGCCCATCAGTGAATAATTATAATTTATATCTTGAAGGTCATGATCAATTTTTTTGCAGTTAACGGGAAGATTTCGAAAATGAAGTGTTGCTGAGACCTGAATATGCACCTAAAGTCAGCCCTGCGACTTTGAAACTGTCTAAACAGATGACAGCACCATTATCTTTTATCAACCTGATGGAAGCTACCGTGTCTATGTATGCACAAAATCATTCATTGTCAGGCAAACCCCAAAAAACAGCACCTAGCTCAAGCAATCAAGCCAAGTCTCTAGTCTCTCAGTGGATTGCCTCCTGAGGGATCACGAAGCCATGAGAGCTAACCTCGCAGTTTCTGTATAGGTCAAACATGTATCCACACGTGTCCACAAATGTAGAACGAAAGCAAATTTATGGTGGGAGAAGAGGGAGAACACGGAAAGTTCCTGAGTTGGTACTGGTGTAACAATGGTAGCGCCGGGAACGGTGGTAATAGTAACCGGTCAACCGCACGTTTATACCCTTCGAACAGAGGGCGGTCCGCAGTGATTTGCTGAACAAACCATTTCACACATGGGTGACGCGATGCGATGTCTGAAAATGAATGAGCAAATAGTTCTGTTCAGTTGCTACTTGACATCAGAAATCAACGGACAACAGTAATCGGAGCGATTCTTGCTCTTAGCCGTCTACAGTTAAACGAATTTAGTCATCTACTCGGCTATCTGAAGATATAGAAATGCAAGGAAATTGCCGCCAAGGTCAAAGCCGGTGCACACATTCCGAGAAGGGCACTAGGTTGGATCAGGAATGGAACCGCTGATCATCAAGTGGTTCTAAAAACCGTCCAGAGGCTGGAATGGATTGCCTCGGTTAGTTGATTTTCAAAATGCCTGATATCAATTGATCAGAAAGAAAGCATAGAGAATAGGGAATTCTCTACTACCGTTACACTCTACTTAAGTAATTTGCTGAGAGGGTGTAAGGAGTAGAAAGGGAAAAGTTACTCCAATTAGAAGGACCACTTAGGTATTTCAGTCTTGCAGTTCCTATTACGGGCGTTATTCAGTTGGCTAGGGGTCAACAACATTTAAGTTTTCCTAAAGTAGAGGTTTTTCCTACTTTTGTTGTCATAAGAAGCCAAAGTGTACCCCCAATCAGGGTCAACCGTCCGTTCGCACTATTCGAACGAGGGGGTCGCATTTTGGTCATGGGCCGAGGGAGGGGGTCGCAATTTCAAGGACCCGCAACCGAAATCGCGACGGTAGTTGATCGGTGGATGAAGGACTGGGGAGGAACGCTCACAAAGAACATGAAGTTGTCATAAACTCAAAATAATTATTCTTTCCAGGCTCGCCCGTTTCGTCCTGAAGTGTTTCTCCGCGTGAATCTTTCTATCTTCAGCAAAGCTTTTAGGGAGAGCTCGCTTCGTCGCATCAGAGCGTGGTAGCAGTGCCAAAAACTGAGCAAGTCCGGGTCATAGCAAGATGAAATAGACTTCCAAATGCCAGCCACAGGCGCGTGCGTGGCGTATCCGAGGGCAAGACTTGCTTGTGCAGACCGCATTAGATTCGATTTATTATGCACAGAGAGACAGTTTTAGGCAAATTACGGTGTTTTCTTGAGGAATAAAGAACAGTTGAATGCATCCCTATGAAAGGTTTGACTTCTCGGGGCTGAAAATAAAGTTCTTCGGGACCTAATTTTTTGGGGACGCTTCTTCCAGACAACTGTAAAACACATAAGGAAGCAGAAATCTCGTAGTCTTCAAAAATGTCTTCGCCCCTCCCAACAAGCTCTTTGAAGGAAGTTATCATTGCTGAAAGCTCAAAAACTCGCATGTGCTGCTCAAAAACCTATGGGGAAAAAGTTCGAACGTGTGATTTTCTCGTTTTTTTCTTTCACTCTTAGGAAAAACAACAGGGGGTCGCAAATGGACCCCCTCGAGAGGGGGGGGGGTCGCAAAAATCCGGAAAATGTGCGAACGTGACGGTTGACCCTGCCCCCAATTGTCCTTGATCTGGCGGCAGTCGAGTAGGTGGCGCACCCATGGAACCACCATTCTACTATTGTCGGCTTGTCGGAAGTGTCCATTGATAGCAGGTTGACTGATATGAACCAAAGGTGCACTGTGGTCGTGAACTCTGAACGGTTACAGACAGAATGGATAGCAGAAAGGGAAGATAGATTCAAGGTCGAGTGACCCTGTTTTTCACGGAAGCTATCTAATTTTGTTCATAAATAGGCAATTTTGGCGTTCGTCAACAATTTTACCTGTTATATATTTTTAGTCAGTTTTTTTTAATATTATAGTTGTGTTTTGTATTTTAAGCTGCAAAACTGTGCTACGACCATCTTGCACAGCGGACCACTTGCCTACCGAGTGCCACTTTTCCAGCCATCTGAATAGCCTTTCTAAAGAATTCAAACTTTGAACCCAACAATGTGGTTTGATGTGGCAAAATCTTGATGCAGCTCCGGCCGATTTTTTGGCCAACAAAACCTGTCACATTCTTGAACGCGTATTCCTTGTGGGAATATTAGTTTCTCATTGCGGATCAAAAGTGAGGCGTGGGAGCAGAGAATGCGCTTTAAATTAGAGTCAAATTGGCACCACTTCCGAACAATCAAATGATACTTCCCTTGACCTAAGCGTTAGTAGCCAGGCAAGGTGATCGCCCTAGAAGGGGCCTCAGGGCTGAATACTTCTAAAATTTGTCTCACGATGGGCTACCGATCGCTGACTTGTCCGCCATCAACAATGTCCAGAGGCGGTACCCTATGGATCTATGAGTTAACGAGGTAAGGAGACTGCTGTTAATTGCTATAGGCCCAGAGAGCTGTGGCACGGAATATTCTAGGAACGAGCAGGCAGCCTTTTACTTGGGACCCGATGCTTGGGGGCTGGCAGCTAAACCCCTTTTTCTACGAAGCCGTTATAGTCTGCGACACCTGGCAAAGCCTTCAAAGGCTCGCCAGCCTTTGAGGCTTTCAGTATGGAACGGCTCTTGGTAGGTTTCAGACTGGTGTTTCTTGCTTTGCAGCTCATGCTATGAGACCCCGTTGTAGAAAATTCGCTTCCCCCAGAACTTTCGGTGACCCTCACTAACACTGGAAATGAAGATGAAAACTCTGGACTCTGAAGACCAGAGATTGAGTTCTGCTTGAATTATGCCACGAGTGGCAGAGTGTTTAAAGGCTGTGTATGAATTGAGAGCCGCTTAAACCGGATGACCCGAGAGACGTAGGGTGGGGTAGTGTTCAGAACTTTGCAGGAGGGAACCTGTTAACGGTTCAACAAAAGGGTCCACCAAGGCCAGCGGCGAAAATTGGGATGGCAGGGAGGAAGCGGGG